ATAACCTAGGTAACTTACTTATTTTGCGCATGCGCACCATTTTGGCCACATCAAAGGTGCCGACAGGGAGTTGCGCTACTGTATGCACTGTGCTACTATATATACTGTGACCCTAGTCTAGCGTTGGTAACGTTTAATATTCGTCAAGGTTAGCTCGGATGCTCATACAGACAACAGCGCTTTGACACAGAGTGCTGATTGGTGAAAAGCCGGTTGTGGGGATAAAATTTACCTCCATCACCCGTTTTTCATCAATCAGCTTTGATGTCAAAGCGCTGTTGCCCATATGAGGATCTGGGCTTAGATGCTGGACTTTAATGTTTGAGGGGATTCTGTTCTCGAGTGGCATCAAACTTTTCTCTCTTTAAAATTTCTTTGAGTAAACGTATGTACGTAACGTATGAATTTTTAATTTTATCGTAGTGAACGCAATCTCAATTTCAATCTCTGCAATTGATTGCTTGCCATTAGGCTGGAGTGAACATAATTCTTGCTTGTGTAAGTATCATCTTTAACTTTTCAAAATTTCTGTGGAGTTCAACTTGTGTATTTGATCATCAGATCCCGCTATGTGTCCTTTTCTCTCTTTGTTTCGAAGCGTGAAGCAACCGTCAATCAAGTGTAAAACGTGATTTTAAGAATTTATTAGAGTACATATTATGACATTATTCGAAATGGAGGAATTATTCAATTATTTAATTATTCAGAAGTATATACTCAAAATATCTATATACTTTTTTATAGAATTTTTCATATATGAATTCTGAAATAGAGGAATTATTCAATTATTCTTTAGATTTCTATTGTGTTTTTTTAGGAAAAACAGAATAATTCCGTATTGCTCTGAGGATTCCGCCGAGCTATACGTTGGTATAAGTATTCTTATACAAATTGTACTTATTTATTTATTTATATTTATGTATTAATTTGTTCATTTTTCCAGGAAAAAATGTTTTATATATAATTGTATATATATTGACATCACAATATAATTATATATAAAATATGTTCATAATAACATATATAAAATTATAGAAAATAATACAAATGTTACAATATTTTTTAATTTACATATAAAAAAATTCTGAATTTTTAGAATTTCTGTATCATTTTATAACTATTCAGAAAATATCTTAAATTTTTTTATACGAATTTTACGTACAATAGTTCAGAATTCATATATATAGTATATGAAAAATTCTATAAAAAAATATAGATATTTTGAGTATATATTTCTGAAATGTTTTATTCTTATTATATCTTCTATTCACTCCAATGAATGCGTTAAAGTGAGTTCCTACTTGCTTGCGATGCGAACAAACGTTGATAGTACACGATAAAAAAAGACTGAACCTAAATAATGTGTGTGCGATGAAGACAACAACTAAGATTGATTAAGCTGGATCTATGAACGATTACTGTGTAAGCGAGAGGGCAGAGAATTAGGGACTCCGTACAATAAAAGGAACAGAGAACAAGAATTTCAACCTATCAGACATCATGTATTGTGGAATTCACAATTTCTGATAGGTTGAAATTCTTAATCTCTGTTACCTGTTCCTTTTATTATGCAGAGAGAGACGCTTGCAAACTAAGTGCACCATGTAATTCTTCCACCATGATCTGTACTCAGTTGAGGGCTGTATGCTTGTATTTTTTAATGATAATTACGTGTTACTAACTGCGGTTGAATGGCTGGCACTTTTATTTTTTTTTGTTTAATATATACATTCTGTCAAAAAAGTACCGGGAATTGATCATTTAAAAAGCCCGCTTAAAGGAATTGTCAAAATTCTTTTTGTCGCTAAGTTGGCATAACTCCTCTATACTGACGCGGAGCTGGAGTGCCATCTGTCATTTAATGTGATTATCGTGCTCGATTTTATCAGTTCATCTCAAGTGTGTTTTGCGATTTTTACAATGAATGAAAAGATCGAACAAAGAATTTGTCTCAAATTTTGTATTGCAAATAGAATTTCGTGTGCCGAATCGCT